AAGCATTGAGGTCACGAGAATTAAAGAAATGATCACAAACTAAAGAAATCTCGATTGTTAGACAAATTCTCCATGTCAGTACCTCAAGGAATGTTTAGGTAACTGTATAAAGAATATGCATACCGATGTCGTGGTGTAAAGGGTTAACTGTGAGATAAAGATTGACGAAAAAAACTTCGTACGTGACATTAGAACGCGAGTATATCGCGTGTAGGTAAGTACGTCGTCGGTGGCTTTGAAGAGCTAAATGAGTCAAATGCCAGATATGCAGTGATACAAATAAGTAGCTGGATACTCTGCAGATTAGCCCGATTTACTCATTAATGCTTTCTTAAAGTTGCGACTCAAATCCAGAAGATTAATTAAAAAAGAAATTTTTTTCCTTATCGGTATTGAATATTTGAAAAGTAATTATCAAGCAAGCCTATTATTTAACGAACTAAGACACTAAGACACAGGAACGGTTTCCAGTTGAAATGAAACCTTGTATATTGTGTAGAAATACTGCCGGTCGACTCTTTTATAATTCATAGGACATTCTTAAAGTTATAAATCACTATCTATCAAAGTTATAGGCCACCGAGGAAACTTATGCTGCCGCCATATTTAAATCCTGCAAAATGATATCATAAACGTATATGAAACCGCTACAGTCCGAAGAAGGAAAATACATGCGAGAATTATGTAACAGTCAAAACCCTGATTGCAAAGTACGCTATACTGCCACTACACATGCTATACTGCCATTACGTTAACGTTAGACTCATAAATTCTTCAGACAAATTTATGTATACATGTCAAAGGAGAAACAGACGGTGCGTCACTTACGTTGCAGCTGCTGCCCTTGTGTGATCCTGATCTTGATAAAAATCAACAGCAATGTCCCCACAACGACAGATGATGTCTTCATTACTGTAGTAGTCCGTTTACATTAAAACGTCATCTATGTCTCTTGGAAAGCGTTTTTGACCGTGCGTCCTATTCCAAGGTGCAGAATCTATGTTTGTTGTCTGTATACGGCTAAGTGCGGAAATCGTCCTTTGCGTGAAATATTTCCCGTCACCCCAGGTGGTGGTGTGGGTTGGAAATGCCACCGATTACGTGCTGAGTAAATTTCTTTCTCCAGGCGTTCAACAGATACGTGATTTTAAACAGACATGAAATAAAAAAAAGGATTGCGAAAAGAGGATTTGCAACTCCCAGTTAATTAGACCCACCAGGAGTGTGTCGCAAGTCCGATAAGCGATATCAAGCTTATAAGTACTAACCGCACGAAAGAGAGCGTTTCTTTGGCTGTAAGCTCGTGATGATCTTCGTTTACACAACAGATTGTGATACTTAATAGGTTTGGCCGGAAACAGTGGGAGTAAATAAAGAAAATATCAAATGCTTATTCATGAAACTGAGAGGCTCTTTTTTACTGACTTCGGCTTTGAAGCAAATGAAAAGTTGGAAATTTAATGTGGATACTAAAAAAAGAAATATTTCATCAAACGCTCAAAGTGACTGTGAATTGAGAATCAATTATCTGACGATCGGAGAAATTCACACCTATCTCTGTCACCAAGTCAAGTATAGTTTAATTTTCGCTTTGTGATATTGAAATAATTTTGGTATCACATACATTAATGAACGAAAATAAACCGGTGATATCTAAATTTCCACAAACTTCACTAACAGCGATAAATCTCCGAGATAGGGGCAAGAGAATTATTGCTGCTCAAAAGTTGTGGATACTGCTTAGCCAACTCCGTGCTCATAGGGCAATTGTAAGGCGGCCAAGTATTGAGCAGTTGAAGGTAATATTTATAACCGCCTAGAAACGATTCGAACATTCATTTCCTGAGGAGAGGAGGGAGGCTGAATTTAAAGGAAAGGACATCAGAAATTCTTAGAGAAGCCAATCAGGGCTCCGTTGGAAATATCAAGTATTGTTTTAGAAATTAAAAGATTTGATCACGGTTAGCTCTCAGCTACCGTGCATAAAAAGTCTCCAGCTAGCCTCCAGTCTCTCTTGATTCCACAATAAATAGAGTGACTGTTTCTTTATATTAATAACTTTAACTCCCATGAGTGACCAGGACACAATTTCTCCTTACGATATCAATACGATGTCAAGCAGAGAGATGATGAGAATAAAGAAAAATATCAGTTTGAGGATTTGCTAGTTGATCCAGTACCAAATTATCAGAACTAGCATCATAAGAATCGTATGGCAGACAGTAAGGAGAATTATTAATGAGATCTTGGGTATTAAAGGGTTAAACAGCTAAAATAAGGTGTTCTCTCCAGAACATTCATAAGGTACCAACTAATGCTTGATTCTCTTCTATGAACAACAGGCACACCCTTGATCTTTTTACACGAGATAAGCTAAGAATCATTCCATGATGTTACGAAAAGGTGGATCTGTTGGCGATATTTTTTATATTTTTAAACTTTGCTCAGAGGAAAAGAGATGACAAAAGAGAGGAAACAGGAGTAATGGGCTCCTGGAGGGAACAAAAGCCAAACAAAGGAAAGCAATGAATACAAATAAAAATAAAGGCAAAATGAATGTCTCTTCGGCTCTTTTGGGATCTGCTTTCGCCATTTAAACTTCATTGTCTTAATTTCTTGTTTTGCACCAAGATACAAGATACAAAAGGGTGAGAGAGAAAAGAAGCGGATGAAAAAAAGAAAGACAAAGAGAGATTTCAGAGGGGCAAAGGAGAGACCAAAGAAGAAGCTTAAAACTTGAAAAAAAAAAGTCTGCAAAAGGAAATGAAATGGAAGTTTGAAGTGGTATGCAAATTGGAAAGAGGAAAATAAAAGCTGCAAAGGCTCCGACAATGACGTAACGAAAGCTAGGGCCACTAATTCAAAACCTTAAAGAAGCAAACAAGTTTATTATGTCAAGTCCCCTAAAGTCCAAAAACTGGATTCGTGCGACACACGTTTTTCATTGTAATGTGATTCGACAGGCTTATTTTTGACCTTTTAAAGGTAGAGGGAATTATTACAGGTATTTCTACCTGTCATGTAAGTGACACGAATTTTCTGGAAGTTCTTTTCGAAGCTAAAATTAAACTTTTAATACGGATGAGCCATTTCAATTTCAAATTTGGTCCTATGCCAACATGGAAATTTGTCCAAAAAAACTGAAATAAACTGGGGACGGGATTAGATTATAGCTGTAACAATATACAAAGGACTTTTAGATATTCTACATATTCATGTAATAGAATAGAGTATGCCCCTTTATGCATAGTATGCTAAAGAATTTTCGAAAAAACAAATTATTTTGACTATAGAGGTTGCCTGACTTTTTACTCGTTCTCGAGTCGTTAGACAGCATAGACTTAGATTTAAATCTCATGTATCGTACAAAAAAGATATGGATCTACAGGAAATCCCCTCTGATTATCCAGCGGGATTATTTTTAGGTTTAATTATATTTTTTAGGATTAAGTCACATACACGGGCACGCTGTTCACGGAGGTGAAAGTTCAAGGATTTGTAATTAAGCTGTAAACAGAGCTAGTGGCAGAAGTTTCTTACTTTCATCTTATGAAATTTTTTTCGTTAACAAACCCGTGCTAGATCAAGGAAAGACGCACTCACTGACATAAGCGTAATTGTTATTACGATGAGCCCGGCACTAAATAATTTCCTCGAGGACAGAAGGCAAAGGGATCCCACACATGCAGTTGAAATTTTTCTCTTAATTCTACGTTTAATCTTTTATTTTGGCTAGTGAATTCAATGAAATTCTCTTTTTGAGGGGAAGTATCGAAAATCTTTGATTTTCGTTTGTCTTGACTTTGAAATAGGTTATTCTCCAGCACTCCACGAGAGGACTCCTCGAGTAACTTGGTGTTACGTGCGAGAGATGAGAATAATGTCGCGAGGAACGCGAGACACGTTTTGCAAAACGAAATCCCGCGAGGGTCTGAAGGTCAGTCACGAGAGAAACGAGGCACTACTCGAGTGTGATGAGAGATAACTCTCGAGTATCGAGACTTCTCGAGTGGGTAACGCAAGATATAATGAGTAACACGTAGCTGACGGTTTATAATTTCAGGTTATTCCGCACGGAAAAAAAAAATTCCACATTTATCAGAATATTATTCCTACAAACATGGACAGGGTTCTATATTTATTCCAATCTCAATACATTAGTCAACCTGATGGTAGGAGTAGAGTATGAAAAGAGAAAACAAACATAGGTCGAACGTTAGATTAAAACAAAACTTTCTCTTCTCTAAAGCGCTAAACTGAAGAAACTTCTAGATTTATCAGAATCCAATTCCCACAACCCTGGACGGAATTTTGTGTTTCTTTCAAGCTCAATGCATAGGTCAACCTGATGGATAAGGTCAAAATAAAATGGTAAAAATACTTTTTGAAACGGGGAGCTAAATAAACCAGAGGTTTTCTTGCTAACTTCTCTTACATTGTAAGTCGCCGGTGGCAGCAGTTACGTGGAGAAAAGAAAGAAAGGAAAATAATTTACAAAAAAAGACAAAAAAAATAAAGAAATTAATCAAATTAAATGAACAGAGAGGGAAAAGTTAGTTAAACTGTATTAACTGTCGAGGAAGGTGGCGAAAGGGTAGATTAAAAAAGTGAAAACGAAAAAACAAACCACGAGCGTTAGATTTAGAGAGAAAATTATGTTTTGAAAGCAATTATCAGACGATTGTATGGTGATAACTACAAAAGGGAACCGATACGGAGGCTTAATTATTTCATGTTGTCATCCACGCATTCCTTGAGTTTTGTTACTCCAAAGGTTTGTATTTAATTCATGGAAAAGCGGGATACACTAAATTCATAAAAGGACATTGATAGTCATTATGATAGTCTAGTAGAAAAGAGGGGATGATTTCAAGGGATGAAAAGATCTCCATTGTAATACAAAGTTAATCTCAGGAGGCTCGATTAGGTCACTCGGCCGAACGGTGGGACCGCAGAAGGCAGGGTTATGAGGCACTAATATTAGTACACTATCATAGTGGTGAGTTACTGACGTATAATTGTTTTTTATTAATAAGAGCGCTTAATAATGGTAATTGAACTGAATGGAGTGTAATTTATGATTTTAATTAACGCGCTGTGCTAATTTTTCAACCATTCAATATTTTTCTTCTATATTTATGATGTAATTGCAAATTACAACCAGTCTTTTTTATTCCCTTGTTTATTATGGCATAAAATAATTCACATGTATCGAGAAAATAAAACCTAAACTGTGGCTCACAGGCCGTAACGACTTAAAAGTCGCGCAACACATTAACACATTGACACACGTTGGGGAAGAGCAACCCTCTCTTTCTTCCAACACTTAAAGAAACTTAAAGCCAAGAAAAATAGAGAAACAGCTTCTGAAGAGAAGAATAGTTCTCTTTACAAAGGAAAATACAAGTATCAATGACTTTATTCGTGCTGGTTAATTCAAAGCTACCTACATAGACAGTGATTACTTTGATGGCCAGTTTCTATGAAATGCAAAATTGCAGTGGCATTAAAGGAAGACCACGATCAAGATCGTCTTCCTTACTTATTAGTTAATACGAACACGCACAACCTTTAAAACGGGGATGACACTGCTTTTTACTAATTTGTGGAAGCTTTTCATAATTTCCTTAAGCGTCTGTAAATGCGATAAAAGACAACATACATAAGTTAAAAGCATATTAATTCCTAAAACCTTCCTACAGACAGAAAAAAAACGCTCATAGCTGATAGTTACAAAGTAATTGTTATGGGTAGCTCACGATTATTTCTATCCTTGTTCCTACGAGAAGTTCCTTTGTCGACGACCACCTACTAAAAAAAAGTATAAAAACTCAGTTAGAGAATTCACTTTTGACGAGGAATACATTTTACATTTGTCCTTTTTATATAACAGTTTGATAACAACACGATATCAAATTTTTATTGTCCAAACTTTATTATTTATCGTGTAATCTGATCGTTTGGGTGAGTGGAGTCCTGTTTTTGGTAGTAGGGATTGACGTTTTGAGCAGAAGTCATCACCAGAGTCAAGCAGAGAGTTGCTGTCAGTCGAGTGTTAAAAGTCCAGTTTGTGTAAACTGATTGGCCAGTTTGGCCGCGATGTTATTGGCTATAAGGCTCAAGTGGTGTAAGTCGGTCGTAAATGGTCAGTTTCAACCCGTAAGTAATGTGAGGTCGTTATAGTGTAAATGGTATGAATAAGTCGTTCGTGTGGTGCCACTAGTTGTTGACACCTGTCTAGACTGAAGCAATCAACTAATGGAGGATGACGAAACAAAGCTGCGTTTTCTTGTCACCATTAACAAGGAAATACTAGCGCAAGAAATTTCCCACTAAAAAACAACTAGAAGCTGGTTGCTTAGGCTTGCTTAAGCTAAAACTTGTTCAAGCAAATGACACAAAAACTGCAGAACGGATGGGGTGATTTCAACGTACTTGTTTGTAAACAGATGGCATCATTGAGCTTCTTATTTCTCAGCAAGGGCTCCAATTCCAGGAATGATCCAACAAGGAAGAGTTCATCATCTGCGTTTTCCACGATGGATTTCAATTCTATTTCATCAACATCTTCTCCAATTCCAACAATAATGATCTGACAGAGAAAGGACCATGAAGTTTTTTCTTTTAATCGAAGAAAAGTAAAAAATTACGGCTACTGCATTTGCCCTCTAAATATTCCCAAAAGTGGAAAAAAAAAAAAAGATTTTAATACAAGATATAGGAAAAATGGCAAGTAAGCTATAAATAAGATAGAAAGCTTATACAACATTTGGTCTCAGCAGTTTAGCTGCATTACAATTAGTTTACTTGGTTCTATGGCTTGAAAACATTACTAAATAGCCTAAAAATTAGATTAAATAATCATCTTATTGGCTGAAAGGGTGTATACCAGTTTCAATAAAAGTTTATAGGGAAGCTGGGTCTTTCGAATGACACCACAAGCTAGGTTTCCAGATGTTAACACCCTCTAAGCAACAAATTATCGCAAGACAATGAGTGCTCAGCTACAGTAGATAGAGTTTTCAACCACTACATACTCAGTATCACTGATTTTTGAATTGAAGGGAGCGCAGTTTAGTCTGAAATCAAATGCGTCACTTTTGGACAAAATCGTAGGACGTTAAGTTCAGTGCCTTTTCATTACATTGATTTAAAAAAAAGAACGATAAAATTGATTAAAGACAGGCTTTGGTCACTGATATTAAAAAAAATTAGGAAAAAGAAATGAAAAAAAAAAAAAAAAAAAGGAAATAAAAGAGCGCGGTCTGGACTACTTTCCATCTCTGTAAATTTAAAATCAGATCGGTTCTTTTACTTTGGCCCTCAAATATTATCAGCTGGACAAAAATATGCACTTTAGAGCAAAAATTAGTGAACAATTCGCAGTGTTATGAGTCAATTAGATTTTAAGAATCACGAGTGATCTCAAATGGATGTTTTTGTTACTTCGATTAACCAGTGGTATTGCTTAAAAAAATGCTTCTCCAGTAAATTTGAACAATAAAAGACCTCATGTCGGACCTTAGGTAATATTTTTATCCTAAAAAGATAAATGGAAGACAAAGATACGCACCTTGACGCCCTGATCGCGTAAAGGTTGCACAGCTGTTTTCAAAGGTATTGACCCAGGATCGTTCGATTGACGGCCATCAGTTATCAATATCAACACCTGAGGCTCCTGATTTTGGCGCCCTTCGGGAAATACGTCGCCAGCCGTCTGAAGCGCGCTGTCTATGCGTGTACGTCCGCGAAGGTATGGTGCGTTGTCTACTGCTGCTTCGGAAAATGAGGAGTAGTTCGTGCTCGTAGGCGTGCCAAAGTTGAGCCACACAATTGACGAGTCACTAAATACTATTAGACCAAGATGAACGTTCCTTGGACCGACCACCAACTTGTTTGCTAATCCATTGATGAAGTTCTTCTCTTTTTGGTAGTTGTCTTTGCCTATGGAGCCGGAAGAATCCATAGCGAATACCAGATCGAATGATTCAGAACATTGAGGCGGAGGGGCTGTGGTGGGTCCTGTAAACGCAACATAAGACCGATGTTTAGGAGTTTTTAAAATACGATAACGTGTGGAGAAGGAGATCGAACAGGTGAACATACTTATCTAAGGAAGAGGGTGTAAACAACTGCTCTTCCATACAAGAGTGGAGGAGGCGAAAAGGGAAAAAAGACTACTTGGGGAAGACCAGCGCAATGAAAGATAAACCAGGAATGTTAAGGATAGAGGTTTGAATTGGAGAGCTTGATGACCTCGGGCGTATATTGGCAAAATCGGATAAATGATGATGATGATAATGTGTAAATTATCTGTCAATTTCGTCACGCGTGAAAATTGGCTAATTATGTTACCCTGTCATCTCGTTAAGTTTATTAGTAACAAAACCAACACCTTTGTCACAAACATAACCCACATCAACTACTACAACAACATTATCCGCTAGAAGCACAAAACAAAAATAGTAGAAGAACAATGGTAACAACGTAATCTATTCTTCTCTGTCCATCTAACAAGCCTAACAAGCATCAGCGGTACTATAAATTGATTTTCCACTTTCATCTCTCAAAAAAGAAAGAAAAAAAACGTTGCCTCATCAGCAGCCAAAAAAAAAAGTGGTACAGCTATTTGTGAGTATTTCGTAAAAGAAGCCAACAAACATCTCTCACCATCGACGGCTGGTTGACATGAAAACCCACAGCCATCAAGACAGCATTTGTATCCAGAGGAACAATCATCATCAGCGTAGCATGAGCTTCGACCAGATGGACAAACGCCGTCAGGTGGATTCGTCGGAGCTGGACAGTAACCAATGAAAGAAGGAGTTGTTGTTTCTTCTGAAGGTTAGAAAAAAAATTGCAAATTTTAATTAAGAACAAACTAAAGAAAAAATCTTTTTCAGATAATTGTTCAATTCTGAGTATAACTGTAATTTAATGGAGGCTTTAAGCGTTGCAAGCTTAAAATCAAATCAAATCAAAGAGATAAACAGATAAGAATCACATCAACAGTTATTTTCTGTGAAGGTGGATTTTATTTTTGTTCCCATTCAGAACCTTGAAACGAAGAGGATAATATATGACCATACCGTTTGGCTGAGGAGATCCCAGTGCCGAATTGAGACCGAGGTAAGAACGAGATTAGGGGGGGGAGGGGGTGGGTGGGGAGAGGAGTGACGTGAAGAGATGGGTAATTTATTAGCTCGGTGCCCCTGGCAATGCGGTCTTCCATTTTAAGAATAGACGGCTAACAGCTGCGCTTCCGCTTTTCGTAAACCTCCTACTCTCGTACCTAAACCTTTCACTGCCAAGCGTTTGTTAAAATTACACGGTAGGATCTCAGTACGAGATTGTATACCTCAAATACCAGTTTTTAACCGCTAATAGACGTATTTGTCACACACCTACTCTACCTAAGCAAAGACAACGAATGAATGTTTTTATTCATACCATAATCTGGTAGAGTGCAAATAGAGCGGCAATTGTCATAGCAACACTTCAAATTTCCCGGACATTCATTATCTGTAAGGCATGCGTTGGTTGTGACCGCGCATCTGATTCTGATCGGGTAGAATGGGCAGGTCCCCGGCTTTGGCTTTGGCGCTTGTGTGACAGCTGCAAAGAAATGAAAAAAAAAAATTAAGCAGTAGAATAAAATGAAATTAAGATGAGAGAAATGAAACAAGGCAAATAACAATATATTTTCCAACACATGTCCTGAACCTTTTGATAAACATTCTTTGACAAGCCCTTCTTCAAAAGACAAATTTTTTGCATGAAATTTTAATTTTTTTCAAAACCTGATTTATATAATTGTGTTAAGCATTTTAGTAAATTTTTCGCATAATATATTTTTTTATAAACTTTTACTATTATTGCTACTAGTAAAAACTTAAAGGCATAATTAACTGACGTACTAGGATTGATGCAGGCAGTGGAAGCTACGTCTTGGGTGGCTTTCTTCAAATTCTCGAATGTCTCGACTTTAAAAACATATGAAGAATCCCTGGCAATCAATCGAAGCTCATCATCAGAAATCTCTGGGCCAATTCCGACCACGAGAACTCGCACTCCTTGATCGTGAATTGGTTTTGCTGCAACATTGAGGTCAAGTGCATCTGGGTCACGCGTCTGACGACCATCTGTCATAACAATTACAACTTTCGGGAAGCCAGGTCTGCCGAAAAAAACTTACCCCGATCAAAATTTGTCTCATGTTTGTCCATTTATATTTGTATAAGTGACCATTCCTTTTTTATGGCGTAAGGGGAGAGGGGTGGGAGAATTTTGGGAGCGGGAGTCTCTCATGGTTTTTAGGGGGAAAAAAGGAAAGTCATTGGTTGTCACTTACATTGTGTAGGGGGGGAAACCATAAAAAATTGACTGCCAATAAGGGTGGATCTTTAGAATATTACATAATAGTACTAATTGGAGGGATCCGGTAAATTTTATTGTGACACAACCAAATTCCTCTGTTCCCCCCCCCCCCTCCCCCCGACGAAGTAGCATATCCTCTTTCTATAATTATTCCACCAACCATCAGCCTCCGTCCACTCTATGTCAGTGATATGCGTTTATCAGTTTGCAAAGAGTACAAGACTCTTTGCAAACAAATAATTAATTCTTCCAAACTCAGTTTAGTAATGAAGCAGATCACATCGCTTGAGAAGAAAAACAATTGTCAAAGGCTTACTGCAGACTATAAAAATTCTCTGACAACGCTCTTTTGGGCAAGGCAATGTACGTAAATTCAGCTGGATTAAACAAAGATCTTCCCACATTCAGGAAAAAACCCCTTTACTTTCTGTGGGTCTTTAACAAATAAATATTTTTTTTTCTGAATGCAATCTGTCTAAGAACATTGTGCATTTCTAATTAATGGAAATATGTATTGAAAACCTTACCTGGCCTGTTCCAACACTTGTGCAGTCATTGTCAGTGCTTTGTCAATTCTGGTCCTTCTTTGCAGGTACGGTAAAGATTCCACTGCCGATAAGAAACTACTCAAGTTGGAATACTGATCAAATGTAATTTCTAGCTGTGTTTCATCGCTGTAAATGATCACTGCTGCTCTACTTCCTGCTCCAATCTTGAAAATGTCAGCGAGTCTCTTAACGAAATCTTTTTCCTGTCTATACTGTGGTTCGTCGATACTACGCGACGAATCCATTACGAACACGACATCTAAGAGTTTATCACACCGAACAGGTTCGGCGGTGGTCGGAGTGGTCATGATAGGAGTAGATGTTGTCGTCGCCCTCGTAGTATTCGGTGTAGTATTCGTAGTATTCGCTGTTGTTATATTGATAGCTCCTGGAGGCTCTTTTCGGGAAAAAAAATTATATCATTACTTTACTTTACTATAGTTAAATTATGTTGGCTGTAATAATTAATTACCGAATCAATTAAATACTTCCTACAGCCAAGTAATCAGGTTACCCAAGATCTTTCTCTTAAGAGAAAGGAAAGCTTTCGACTAGCCTTAGAGAAAAATAGTTTTTAAAAATACAAATTCAACCAAAGAATTTCACTAAAATCACTATGGAGAAATGGTTACAAAATAATTTGCGTCGCTTGGGAACTTGAGAATTCCCTGGGTCCTTAAGACTCTCGGCGCAAAGTTCATTGGTTCTGTGCTGAGACATTGAGATGTTTTTCAATATTCCGGCGAAACAGCTAAGAAGGGAGCGAGCCCATCAAAACCTCCACATGTTCGGGGTCATCCTAGTACAAGACCATTCGTTCTGTTTAAGGGAATCGTACCTTCGCAAGTCAACAGGTAAACTATTCTGAGTCATGGCTCATTCCACATAATCCACCATTTCTTGAATATTGACATAAACACAATCATTACTTTTGATTCACGAGTGGTGTATGTTTTAAATTTATGTTTATTAGTTCTTATTATTTATTACGTTCTTTTTCTCTTTACTTACGAGGGCAGACAACTTCCAGTAGCTCCGCAGATTTGTTCAGTAAGTCCTGGAAAGAACTCATTAGGAAAACATCGTCCTGGCTTGTTACCAAGTCCTTTAATTCACTTCGGTCCACCCTCGGTCCCACGCCGACAGCAAGAACGCGAACTCCTTTCTCACGAAGAGGTAACACAGCTGTATCTAGTGGCTCAACTCCAGGTCCCGGCGTCTGTATCCCGTCAGTCATCACCACGGCAACGGAACTCACAGAGCGTCGTGGATTTAAAAATAACGTTTGCGCAGCAAAGCGGAGGGCGCTGTCTATTCTTGTCATACTTCGTTTGTGCGTCAGGTCGTCTACGGCAGACTCGAATTCGCTGATTGAATTTTGACTTAGAAAGTCTACCATTAGTTCAGGTCGACCGCTGTACATAATGACCCCAACACGACTGTCTGGGGAAGCACTTAAGAATAGGCCAGCAATCTCTTTCACGGCAATCTTTTCTCTCTCAAAATCTTCGTCCGTAATGCTTTCGGACGAGTCCATTAGGAAAGCAATGTCCACTCCTTGGACACATTTGGTGGCTACGAAAAGTAAAAGCAAACAATATGCAACATTTTCAAGTGCAAGGAGCAGGATAACAAGGTTATAAGGCTATCTTTCTCATTTTCCCTATTTCCCAAAAGGATAATAATCCCATTAATGATTATTAATCACTTCTAGCTAACCCTCTTTCCTCGGTCTCTCCGGCTAAGGAGCCAAATTATCAGGGAGACCACGGACTAGGCATTTGCGCCTATTCTTTCCCTTTTCCTCTCCTTTTTTGTTTTTAGAAACAAAGGAAAATTAATGTAAAAACGTCAGTTTTCAACGGCTATTTATTTTTGCGAATGTAGTTTTCTAAACCTCAACCCATACCCTTGGAACTATCGTTTTTTTCCCCATATGAGCTCGAGTAAGCAAGTGTCTATTGAACAACATATCATACACTTTTGCATTGTAGTTACGAAAAGATTATGCTCTTATTAACATTCATTCCTTTCCCTGATTCAACCCTTTTTAAAGCTAAAATACCCGGTATGCATTCCAGAAAATGCTAACGTTTACTTGCTTTATAAGTTAAAAGTTTGTGATAGCATTTCAGAACTTTCTTTCTCGAAAAATAAAGAGAGGAATCACTCACAATTACTGATTTGACTGCAAGTGTTGTCAGCAAATGTTTGCGACTTGCGAAGAAGATCTACGAATAAATCCACCAGAAAAGCATCCGCATCGCTTTCAACCAATAACTTGAGCTTATTGATATCAACATTGGACCCAATCCCTACAGCAAAGATCCGCACATTTTGATCACGAAGGAGTTGAACCGGTTGGTTAAGTGCCATTGAATCTTCTGTGTGAGAACCGTTTGTTAAGGCGATTAACACCTTTGGGACATTTATCCTTGCAGATTTAAACATATCCGATGTTTTCTTCAGAGCGAGGTCGATCCGAGATCCCCCTTGTGTTTGGATCTGGCTAATACGGTCTATGGCGTTTGCAAATTCAAAGGTGCTATCAAAGTCATCAAAGTTGATACGCGCGGTGGCTTTGTCGTCATAAGTGACCACAGCGGCACGGCTGGCTCCAAGGCTGAAAATCCGCGCCAGATCTCGAACAAAATCTCTCTGTTTCTCAAAGTCACCAGCACTTACTGAGGAGTCCATGAGGTAGATGATGTCCACGCTAGCGGTACAAACTTGAGCTTGAATTAAAGAGAGAGAGAGATAATGCAAATATGCTCGGAGATGAAATTCTGAAATCTCTACCTCAACTTTATCTGCTGGCTTCTAAGTAAATTGAATAAAATGCATCAAGAGGTAGGGAAAAGTCGAGAAACTTTCAGCCGCATTGGCCTACTAATATATCTGGCAAATTACAGTTTTTAAACGTTCACTTCAATAGCCGAAGTCCCACCAGCAGATACATATATTCAAGAATCTCGATGGATTTTAAATCCAATCCAATCCAAGGTGGCTCTTCGTCTACCGTTACCAGGACTGGAATTTGGAGCGTTATTTGGACCGAAGAACCCGGAATAAAACTCCTAGAGAATAGTTGTAAAGCAACACGAAATTCAGTCTACAGGTGACCCCTGTTAAAGGATCGAGCACAGGATAAAACGGTGGGAAAAGGACGGGTGACGGAAACGAGTGCCAACTGTACAGGGCCATTCCTGCTCCCCTTTTTAATTACGTGTTTAATGACACCCACCAGCTGTGCTTCTGCACATTCGCCTGCAGCCGTCAAAGCAACACTTGTAATCACCGACGTCATTACAATCGGAATCACAGGTACATTCGTCTTGAACTAGGCCAAGACATCGCTTGGTTGGCGAATACGGCGGACAATAACCCTCAGGATCTAACATTCGCACAAAAAGAAACAATTGAATTAAAAAACGACTGAAAAGAGAAATTATACTAAAGAATTGAATTTATATTTACAAGGAAAATTTGGAATATTTTGAAAGTCCTTAACCAAGGGCGGCGGGTTGTGCTCAGTCAGTACGCAAAATTCCGTCAAAATATCAAAGTAGTCATTCATTACTTTTACGCCTGTTAAACGACTAAACGTGTTTTATCCACCATTTTGGAATGAACGTTCTTAAATGATAAACTAAAGTACCATAAAGGGAACTGAAACCTTAAAACAAAATAAACTTGCTTAATCTCGTACACGTTCTCCTGACAATAACAGACTCCTTTACTCCGCGAATTCAAATTTGTGAAGTGATGTCTACGTATGAAAGTTCAACAAAAGTTTCAAAAGGGGGTTGAAAACAAGTTTTGTTTTGAGGAATTCATATTCTAAACTTGGACCAAATTGTTCTCTCGTTGCTACCTTAGGGAAGTCGATGCAAGGCAACGACCCTAACAGGTTACCGGTTTTTAGTTAACGAGAAGGAGAACAGTTGGGGTTGCTTTTACCATTCGAGACTGTAACCTTGCGTTTTATAAATTCGGAAATTCATTAAATTTTAGCTACCTCTACCGACGAACATTGCCATGTTTGAGGAATTGAACAACTGCGCGTTTAGAATTTTCTGTAGACAAAACAGAACCGATAATGTTGAACATACCTTCACAGCTCCTTATGCTGCAAGCCCGGGTCTGCTGACTAGGTCCTTCACATTGCCTGCCGCCACTTGTTGGTCTGGGACTGTCGCATCTGCGTTTTTGGGTCTGTAATCCTGTTCCACAAGTCTTGGTGCATCTGCTCCATTTATCCCAAGGGCTCCAACCTCCATGCACTATCAGCAAGGAAAATTAAAATATTCATGACTTAAAACGTCGGTAAACACCCCTGATACCAGTTTGGCAGAGCATCCGAATATGGTTCCCGGCCCTATAATTGTTTCCTCACAGTACGGTCGTGGTAATCATTTGACATTAGTTTTTATCCATATCTTTTGTTATTATTATAGCTATCGCTATCATTATTATCATTATTATCAGTATCATGGAAATTATCAATAATCTCTTTATCATTAGAAGAACTACTGTAAGATTCATGTTTTCATGGAAAAGGAAATTAACGTCAGCGACTTTTAACTTTTCTCTCAGAAAAAAAAAACGATGAAAATCAATGTCGACGAGTTTCGATTTTTCGCTCTCTCTCACTTGCTTTTTTTTTTTTTTTTTTTAAATAATTCAATATTTTAAAACTTTTCATATAGGGAAGAGGACTCACCGGGGCAATCCCTAATTTTACATTCCCGTGACTGCTGACTGAGTCCTTGACATTGCCTCCCTCCATTTTGTGGCCTTGGACTGTCACATTTGCGTTCTTGGATCTGTGATCCTTTCCCACAGGTTCTGCTGCATCTGCTCCATCCACTCCAAGGGCCCCACCCTCCATGCACTATTCAGTAAAATTAAATATCCAATATTAAAAACATCAGTATACCGCCTGGATGACAGTGTCAATTGTTGGTAGAGACAATGTTGAGCGCAGCAACGGTTTACCAGCTGAATGCCTATGTTAGAAGTTGTAAAATGAATATCCCAGGTTGAAAACATCGGTATACCGACTGGATGACAGTGTCATACTGTTCTTACCTGTAGATCTGGGCGTTGTCTGGATCGGAGCTGGGGTTATGACAGCAACTGAAAAAATTCATTTTTTAGTGAAATCACTTGTTAGAAAACGTTAAGAGCAGCAACAGTTTACCACCTAAATGCCTAAGTTAGAAGTTGTAAAATTAATTATCCAAGATGGAAAACACCGGTTTAACGCTTGGATGACAGTGTCATATGTTAGCAGAGCATCCGAATGTGGTTCCTGACTGACGGACCCTATTTTCATTTCGTAATAGTACGGTCGTGGTAACTATTTGACATTATTTTTTTTTTTTCCATCTCATTTGTTATTACGGTTTCTATCGCTATCATTATTATCATTATGATGATAATTATCATTTATTTTTTATCATCAGCAGAACTATTATCGGATTCAGTTTTCATTTACTGACGAGGACGTACCGGGACAAGCCTCGATTTTGCAATTTCGTAACTGCTGACTGGGTCCTTGACAGCGCTCCCCTCCGTTTTGTGGCCTAGGACTGTCGCATCTGCGTTCTCTGATCCGTAGTCCAGTCCCACAAGTCCTGCTGCATTTGCTCCATTCACTCCACGGGCCCCAGCCTCCGTCTGTTGTAAGATTTGCCGAGCCTTGTTTTGTTACAGCGTCGGAGTTCGAAGTGCATAATCATGTAGACAAGTTGTAGATTAATTAGCACATTTTTATAGTAGTATATGGTAATATTCATCGATAACATTTTTGTTTAACATTAAAGTAAATGTATTTCCAGCTCACAATTGGTTCATGCGGCAGCGTTCGTTCTTTACCATGAAGCACGCGGGATGTTTGGAGAGCATGAAAGGTAAATGCTCTCTAAAAACATTTTCAACACAGCAGTTTGAATGTAAACAATGTGCAGTAAATCAATATAAATCGTCAATTTTGTGTTTATGGCACTTATCGAAAATCGTCAGTTTTATGTTTATGGCACTTATCGAAAGGCGTTCTTCTTAAACTGATATTTGATATTAAACCCGCTTTTCTTGTAGCTTGAGGTAAGTTGTCACGCCTAAGGTGTTTAACGCGCTTTAGTGTAGACTCTTCGGTTAGCCCATAGTTCATAACATTTACTATGATTAGGCAACTAACGCAGCGACTAAATTTCATTTCCTCTTCGATTGGGCACCTCTATGGTTATCAAGGAAACAACTAGTGATGACCTGTTTTGGATTAAAGGAAAATTGTACTCCAGAAACCATATCTTTCTATTTGGGCTATTTCCTGCTTATGAAGTTAATTTCAGAACGTTTAGGTTAGTCTTTGGAATTTAAAAACGATGCTAGTAGTTTTAAAAAGGTTTATAACTACTTTTTAGACGCGGAGATATAAATTGTATTCGTTTAGAAGCAGAAGTAGTATACTTCTCCTTTTATAATTTAACACGAAAGTCAAGACTAGAGCTTGAATTCAATGTAGAAGATTCTTTTCCGAAATTACTTGGAAACTGCCAATCCTTCCTGTCCTTTAGTGGATAAAAGGAATATATAACGTAGATCACACTCACCTGATAAAATTGCAGATACAACCGTTGGAACGTAACTTGGTAAATACTCAGATGCTTTCGGTGTCAGAAAGTCCTCTGGTCGAGCAACTAGACGGCGAATATTTGGAAAGTTTGATTCAGATCCGATACCCAGGATAGTTATATTTATATCTTGTCTACGTAGTGTAGCTGACATAGAATCTATGCTTGCTGGGTTTTGAGAATCTGTTGTGGCAATCAATACGATAATCTTCGGCACGTCAGGCTCGTCTTGGGAAAAACCTCTTGGTGCAAATCTCAAGGCCCAATCTAGCCCGCCACTTAGTCCACCAAGGTATCGAAGCTTGTCGACAGTATGCGAAAAGGGACCAATTTCTGGGTACGCTCCCATGCGGATGGCGAACTCAGGAAATGTATCATATATGATGACGGCTGACTGTGTATAGTTGGGACTGTGATTAAGCGCTCGTGCCAAACTCTTGATGAAATCTTTTTGGTTCCGATAGTTTACTTGTCCAACCAAAGAAGATGAGTCCATAACGAAAATGACCTCAGCTTTGTAATCTTCTGGCGTCTTGGATTCTTTTATAAGGAGCAAAAAAGAGAACGTTCATATAATGCAATTAGTGCTCATTCGGTCTATGCAAAATATCAAGTACTATCAAGAAAAGGGTCTCAAGATCAATTGGCCATAGAAATCCATTCCTAGAAAAGGTGACCATAATTTTTTCACATTCATTCATTGTTAGAAAATGCTCCTGTAGCTTCACGTAACAGTCTATCAGGATTTCAGGTTTTGAAGCTATTTTAAGTCTTTACACCCTAACATCATTATGCATATTCCCCATAATTTTCCCTTTAAATATCCTAGGGTGCAAACCAGGAAAATTTAATTGACAATCAAGGGCTTCTTTGGTTGTGATCATTTCCTTTATTCTTGTGACCTTAATGTTTGATTCAGGGGTGATACTGTCACTCTTAGGGGTCAAAGAGTTAACAGAATTGGAGCAGAACACACGAAGTTAGTGATTTCGTCAAAGCAGTCCATCTTGCTGAAACTTACCAGCTCTAGAAACTGTATAAGAAACTATTGATGGCACATTAAGTTTCAAATCACCAGACCGAGGAATCTCAAAGAAGTCAGTTGTACTCTCTACAATAAGCCCTAGCTGCTGATCATCGGCGTCGACACCTACACCGATGACATAGAGGATTGCATTAGTGTCCCTGACATTTTGCACTATCTCTTGCAATCGTTGAGAACCAAGCTCTGGAGACTGTCGTCCATACGTTATCAAAAAGACAACGTTGGAAGCGTTTTGGCGTCCAAAAATAGCAAGGTGGTTCGTAGCTTCTTTCAGAGCTTCCTGGATGTTTCTCTTTCCTCCAATGAGAGTCACAGAGTCCACGTTGTCTTCGAACCGTTTTCCTCTGACATGGTCGTATAATCCACCAATCAAAATGGTTTTGTCGCCGTAACTGAGCACCGCAGCATGAGAAGCAAAAGGAGAAACATCGAACCGCTGAGCCATGAGTTTTACAAATTCCTTCTGTTTTTCTAGGTCACTTTGAGTGACACTGTTAGATGTGTCTAAAATAAAGACGATGTCCATTGAAGGGGAATCTCCATCTGAAAGGTAAATTAGCTCATCAGAACATATCCTTTTATACAAGTGTTTGGCCAGAGTGACTTGGAGCACGATGAATACATTATTGTGACAACGTTGTAGCTTGCAACTTATAGTTAGATAATTTAGAATGTAGAGGAAGCAATTAGTTGTTCGTGAATAGCTTGTTGCACGTTGTGTTTTGTACTGATTTGTTGAGAATGTATGTGCTTCCACAAAGGGGGTTTGCCACCAACTTGGAACTATGTTGAAAAAATGTTAAGAGCAGCAATGGTATGCCACTTAAATCCCAAGCTATTAATTGAACAAAATGAAACTGCGAGCCCTTCTTTACATCTGGGCCCGTTGCTTAAATTGCAGCTACATTTGATTTAGAGCTAGAAAATTGAACTTGATTCGCATTTCTCTCGGGAAAAGGACTGTAAGCGTTTTGGTGAATTTTGTCGTAGTAACGCTACGTTCATATAGTTCAAAGGTTTTGGTTTCTCCCTAATCAAGAGTTGGTTTTACGTTAAGTCGTTCAGTGAAATTTAGCCGTTGCTTAACAAAACCGCGTTCTAAAATATCTTCGTTTTAGTTGAATCTTTTCTCTGAACATTCAACTTTGTGAACAGTGACACGACGATCGTAAGCTGACAGTGGAAGGAAATTTATTGACTAAAATCAACCCTCTTATAGAGAATACACGAAGCCCACCGCTTGCGTAAAAACGTGGTTTGGGTTAGACTTTGTGTAAATGACCGGCCTTACGGTTCTTACCTGTAGGGTTAGGCGTTGTTTGGATTGGAGCTGTGGTTGTGGTAGCAACTGAAAAAATAATTTGTTTGTAAATCATTTGTCGGACAATGTTGAGAGTAGCAACAGTTTACCGCCTGATTGCGAGTCCCACTGTGGTGTATAACTACACAACGGAGGCCTGTTGCTTATATCGCAGTCAGGATTTATCTAAGGTTAAAAGTTAATTTTTGTTCTGATCTTCCGCTAAACTCTCGGTTGGTTTTTATCGTAGTGTACCCGGTACATTCAGATTTACTTCTTGAAAGTATGTTTTGTTGTAAGATTTTTCTTTCGTGGTTTAGTTGACTTGTTGCGATAGTTTGGAGGCCTTCCTTTCTTTCTAACACGAGAAGAATTCCAACAAGTGTTCAGTGTTCTTACCTGTAGATTGTGGAGCAACTGAAAAAAAAAAAAAATATATATATATATATATATATTATTAGTCAGATAGTAGTTACCAAAATGGGATTTGGACATTTTCCTGGGCACTTTACTGCTTATCCCAAGAAATACTGTAATAAGTTTTTGTGACATCAGGCACAGTCAAAGATTTTTATTTCGCCTGAAAATTCCAAAGAGACCGACTGATATAGAAAGACTTTGGAGTTGGAAAGGACAATAGAGAGAGACAGTTTTTACGAGTGGTTTTATACGCCACATACCCACAAAATATAATTGAATTAATAAATGAATAGAAGGAATAAAATAAAGCACAAATGTGCTCTGACATTAAACACTCGGTGATTCCTTGCCTCAGGGCAATTTTGGTTCGAATCTACTTTAAAATGATGGTTTTAATGTAAACCGGTGAAAAAAATTCGTTGAGCAGGAACACGAAGAAGACGAGATTACAAAGCCCATGTCACAGTGACACCAGGCCAGGGAAATAAAACAAGCCACAGTGGTGAGCGGTGAGTGCTGTCATTACTACATCATCTCTGCTCTGGTCCATTCTCCAAAATCGGATAATACACTAAGGGTCAGAGTTCCCGTCATTGTTAAACATCTTAAACTAAAAAACAGCTTTTTAAATGAATTGTTTAAGCGTCCATTAACTGGCGAAGCTACACCTAAGCCCTTGAAGGAAAGAATCAACCCATAAGTAACCGGCAAGTAACTACCCGCATATCCTTAATACATTAACCATTTAAGAGTTTGCAGAGACGAGATTAAAAAAAATCAGTGGTATGCTTCCACTAAAAGATGTACTGTCGATAAAAAGGAGAATTCTAATACGAATCTTTGGTGGAAACGAATTATAATTAAAGATCACACAGGCTCCTTCGTAGGTAGTTATAACAACGGAAATCCACGTACCGTATTCTTTCAAAAGGTCTTCCGTCAGCATTGCTGTCTTTTGAGGGAGGTCGGTGAAAGAAGGAACGGAAAAAATTTTTGTCTTAGCTTTATCCCCTCCCTGGAAGTAACTTGGATCCACGTCACCCCCAACCGCAAAGATATGTGTTTTCGTTCCAGTTTGGTGAAGAGGTTTGACAGCTGCAGCGAATGACTTAGCATCTGGTTCTTGTCGGCCTGCGGTCACCAAGATAACAAACTTCGAGTTATCAGTGCCGACGTCTTTCAGGACGTTGGTCGCCGCTTCTAAAGCTCTGTCAATTCTTCTGCCTTTTTTTAAATGTGGCAGATTATCCACCATTCTTTCCAAAGCGGACTTGCTTTCCCGATTATCTATATTCAAAAGTACTGTTGCTTCTTCGCTGTAAACCATAAGTCCAACTCGAGAGTCGCTTTCGCCCGGATAGAGGTTTAGTTGGCTCATCGTGGATTTAACAAATTCTTTTTGAGTCCTGAAATTAACAGGAGTTACCTGTTTGGACGAGTCAAGAACAAACAATACGTACGTCGAAAGATTCAGCTTCTTGGGTGCAACTGTGAAAAAAGAGAAAAGACACAATATTATATTGCCGAACGAAATCAACAAAACTTTGAGAAAGCTTCATCACGGCTTCTTATCCATGTAACGATATACCAAGTTTTTCAAAGTCATAAATTGTAATCCATTCCAGGCCAATACACGACTTTGCTAATACTATGTCCAAATTAATGCTGGGATTGGCCATCCCTAACCAGGTCCCTCGAAGAACAACTTAGTACAGATTCGTACACGAACCCACGAATTTGAAATAAAAGGTTTTCGTTGAAATTTTTTACCTTTCGGTATGTTTACGGTCGTGATTGCATTCCACACAAATTAATGATCACCTCAGCCCATTACGAAAAGAAAGATATATATCGGTCAAATCTGGAGAAGCTTTGAAAATTATATCAGTGGCTTATTAATTAGGCATAAGGTTTTCATTACTCATTAATACAAAGGGACCTACCCGATTCACTCAAAATGTAACTTCCAACTTGATTGACCTGTTTTGGAACATCACCGTTAGATTCTACGGTAAATACACTTTCTGTCTTGTCCACTAAGAATCTAAAATCTTGAATTTTGGCGGAAGGGCCAACCAGCGCAAGATACGTCCTCACACCTATGGCACTCAGCTCATTGATTACATCACCAGCTGAGTTCTTGTCTTGCGGTTGCAGAGGTTTTCCAGAAGTAACAAGAAAGATGACTTTGGAAACAGAAGACGGAGACTTCGGAAACATCCCTGCCGCCTCCCGTAAAGCATCGCTAACACTGCGGTCTCCTCCATAATGAGGAACTTCGTCAACCTTCGATTCAAACTCGGTAAGTGATCTGAAGCTTTCGAAGTCAGAGATTACCGAAGGTCTGCCATTGAACACAATAAGGGCTGCTCGGGTTCCTTTTGGATCGATGTTTAAGTACCTGGCAAGAGACTTGACGAGATCTTTCTCTGTAGTATATGTAGAGGCAGTTCCGCTGGATGCATCCATTAAGAAAATAACGTCGGCTAAATACTTGGCCTCGGGATCTTGTAAAGAAATTTATAATCGCAAATTGAACAGTAATTTCTTAAAAACATTGAGAGAAGAAAAAAGTGCTAGGAAAGCAACTTTTTTCCAGGAGTCTCATACAACCCTTTCTCAACCTAAAAGGGGTGCTTAGGATTAAAATCACGTAAACTGCAGCGCCTATAGCTTTGCAAGCAATAACTTTGGCTTAAAATTGTCTGGGGACATATCTCATGATAAATGGTATTAGAGTAGTTAAATGTTTGAATGACAAAATTGTTTTTGTCACTCGTTGCAAACCGGCATTTTTAAAATAAATAACTGACCACGAGTTAGCCGACGCAAAACGAAGCTCTCCGAGCGAAGCCGCGTATTATTTACTGTACGCCGATCTTGGCATCTTACAAGCTAAGAGGCGTGTTACAAAATTGGCACGGTCACCGTGTTATGTCGTGCAAAGTTGCCAAAAAGATCTTAACACGTTCCTTTGTTTCTACCGTGCGAAGCAAGACAATGGCTACCAAGTTAATGAGGCAAGTAACTTACACGCAGCTAACGTGTTAAAAGCTCGTTCTTTTCTTTTAGCGTGCTAGTGTACGGTGAGTGTGCGTTCACCCTATTCCCTAAAATCCTGCGGAGGGTCACAAATAACAGCAACAGTAACCAAAATACAGAAAAAAACCTGAAATGCAATTAATTCACGCGAATTGATACATACCTTGGCATATCGCTTTTCGCATCTGTGGTGCAATTGCTTGAAGTTCTCCAAAGGACGAGGGTGTTAAAACCTTATCAGGACTGGACGCAATTTCTTCCAATTCATTTCTATCTACTCCGTTACCGATACCAATAGAATACATCGTGACCCCTTTTTTCTTGATTCTCTCGGAGACCTCCAGGAGGCTGGTATATTGTCCATCTTTCGTCTGCTTCCCATCAGTGATAAGAATGACAATCTATGGGGGTGCATATTAATCGAACATAAGACAAAAGAGTAACAACAATAAAAGTAACAGACTTTTGGCTTATTTCAATTTATTGATAGGGATGCAGTCAAAAAGTTATCGGATTTGCCTTAAGTGCAAGGAAAAATTACTGTGAAAAAAATACGGAGACAAGAGACGAAATAAAATTCAAGGGTGCTAGGCTTGAGTTAAAGGCAAATTTAAAAAACTATGAAGAAACATATATAATGAATCGGGTCAGAACGACCAGGTTTGAAATTGTTAGAGGAAGATATGAGTACGCATGTTTATGGAAAGCTATAAAAGCTTATCTCTTTCAGGGCGCCATTAAGGAACTTTAATTGCTAGTTTAAACATCTATTTGTTTAGTTTTAAACTTTATTTCTGACTTAAATCTCTTTAAACCATTAAAGGACGCAAGGCACTGGAAGTGAAATTAATTCATGACACATTTAGTAAGGCTAAGAGAATATCAACAGTTGATATTCTCTTAATAAGATAGACTCCTGGTCTATTATCCAGATTGCTGTCGAAAGATGATTACCTTCGCTATATTTGGCCTCATGCCGTTTGAAGTTTGGAGGATATCTCTGTCTGCGAGCTGGAGAGCTTTGTCGGTGTAGGTTAATCCACGCTGCCAACGCATTCCGTCAAGCACTCGATTCACCCCGTCTGTATCCTGAACATCTTTGAATCTCATAATCACCATAGGATCAGTACTGTAAGCTACAGCTGCCACGTGAGTACGCCCAGGACTAACGTCTAATTTGCTAACCAAAGCTTTCAGAAACCTTTTTGTTCTTTCCCAGTTTGTCTTGCCAATACTTGCGGATGAATCGACGATGAAAGCTATGTCCAATAGCGGACGACAGTCCTTGTCTACGTGATAACAGCGTGAAAATCAAAGTAAACCCTCTATATGTTTTAGTCTAGGTCAATATTTACTTTCGATCGAATGGATTAAGATTTCTATTGAATGAAATTAATAACATGACCCCCTTTCTAGCATGTTAAACCAGTAAAAGCTGCACTATACTGTGGAAAAATTAAGCTACAAAAAAACAAAAAAAAAAAAATGACAAAAACTAAATTGGAATTCCTAATATGAACTAACTTTGTCATTATACAACATGAAACAATTAGCATATACAAAGAGATAAATTACGACGGAAAACCTACCACATGGTCCTGTTTTTACTGAATAAGCTACTATATTTCCCAGGCAAGACTGCTGAAATAAATTGCACAAGCTTTTATCTTGTACACCATCGTTCGAACAAACAGGCTTCCGAACATCGGGACAGAGTGGACAAATACATTCTGCTTGATTCTCTACAACACGACAGCCACGATTGTATGGAGCTCTGCAGCCTGTCGTTTGGCAAGGATCTGTGTGATTTGATGAGAAATATTTCCTAATTAATTATCTTCTCCTGGCGGTTGAAAGTAATTTTGAAGAAAATTTAAATACCTGGGGTTGTTGGCAAAGGCGGTGTTGTCGAGGGTGGAGTTGGAACTGTTAAACATTAAAATGAAGGAAAGTCAGAAACAATTGGAAGCTTTAGAGATGTAGTCATCTCCAAAAGCAAACTTATCATTAAAAAGAAAAAAAGAACAGAGTCATAAAGACGAAATTATGCGAGTACACCCTGACCTTGACAATACAGGGATACCGCCATAATCGTGTTCAAAGCCACTTACCTGTGGTGGTAATAGTTAGCCTGTCCTCACAAAATTCTCTTGTCAGCAGTGAGACGAGCTTTTGAAGTTCTTCGAATGATGACGAGCTAAAAACATACTGTGGGCCAGATGAAATCTCCAGAAGCTCCGCACGGGCAGCTTTATTGCCAACTCCGAGAGCATACACAGTTACGCCTTTGTTTTTCATCCCTTGAGAAGCCACTGAAAGTTTGGTGTAGGGCTTTGACGTGGTTTGATTACCGTCTGTGATCACAAAGGCCAACTATCCAAACACAGTGTATATATCAATATAAATCTTAAAGCGAATACAACAATAACCATGGCATGCTAATGCCGGACTTAAAAGGAAAAACAAACTACAGAAAACACTGCATTAGTTATCATCCCCTTGAATCTAAAGATCAATTAAAACAGTAAAAGATTAAATAGGATAATTTCAAGACGGAGATAACCTCCTTTTTTTTTGGGGGGGGGGGGGGCTGCGTTACTTGTATTAAAAAAAAAAAAAACAATTAATTTTGAAAGGGAAAAAAAACAAAAGTTTTTAAACGGTCCTTACCTTAGGTACTCGCCATCTCATCCCGTTTGCTGTCTGAAACAGATCTCTGTCCGCTAGGAGAAGAGCTTTGTCCGTGTAAGTGAAGCCACGTTGCCAACGCATCCCATCTAACTTTCGGTTTACCTCTATTGTGCTCTGGATGTCATTAAATCTTGTTACTACTACGGCATTGTTACTGTATGCAACAGCTGCTATGTGTGTGGCAGAGCGACGAACATCAAGTTTACTGACCAAAGCCTTGAGGAATCGCTTCATTTTCTCCCAGTTCTTACGTCCGATACTCCCAGATGAATCAATTACGAATGCAATGTCCACAACGGCGCTACACTCCTTATCTGCGTTAGAAAATAAGAGGTAAGTAAGTGCTTCCACATTAGAATGCTGATTTCTATATGAAAACAACAAGGTGTTACCAGAAAAAAGAAACAACAGGAAATACTGAGGGTAAATGGTGGCTTAGCGTATTAGGGCCTGTTTGCATGATGGTGAGGTGAGGTAACCCGCCTAGCCGTGGTCGAAAAATAAAACGCGTCTACATGCAATCTTACAACCCCGGGGTGCTGGGGTGAGGTTTCTTGAGGTTGTTGTTGCGCTCGCAATTAAGGAGTTTGAGCAGAGGCGTCTCAAGCTCACATCTCGAGAAAGACGAAAGATTAATTCTCGCACAATATGTATTTATTCATGAAAGCGTCACGCGTTGTGTTTCGTGGTGTCAGGTTACGCGAGGAACCGTTGACTTAATATGTTATACGGAATAGTTTGGGAAACGAAATATGGTCGATTTACAACGCTAAATATTCCGAAATGTGAACATTTTACACTCCTTGTGTGTCCGTTGCGGTTTCGGGTGATTTCTGTCATGAGACGGCTAGGAAATGTACAAAGTTTTAAAACACACATGTTTCGCTTTTGAGCTTTTTGCCATGAACGCGGCCCCGGCTAGGCGGGTTACCCCACCTTGAGACGTTTACATGGCAAATTGTCACCCCGGCTGACAGGGTTACCCTACCTGGCAGACCGGGCAACCCGCCTAAGCGGGTCACCTCACCTATCATGTAAACGTGATCAAGATAAAATAAGAAATTATATGGACAGGCGGGTTACCCCACCTAGGCGGGTTACCTCACCTACCTGGGGTCCCCCACCTCCATGTAAACAGGCCCTTAGTTCTTTAACACACTGACAGTAAGAGAGGTGAAAATGTAAGTAATAAGCCAAATCACTAACAAGTGAATGGTAAACATACCACAAGGCTCCTGCTTGGCAACGGTTACGCCCTTAATATCTCCCTGACAAGCTTGTTGTCTTAGATAACACTCGTTTAAGTCCTGGACACCATCTGTTGCACAAACAGGTCGATATATATTCTGACAAGCTGGGCAAATGCACTCCACCTTATTGTCTACTACGCGGCAGCCAATATTGTATGGAGCTCTGCAGCCCGTCGTTTGGCAAAGATCTGTGAGATTTGATGAGAAAATATTTCCTTATTAATTATCTTCTCCTGACGTTTGAAAGCAATTTTGAAGAAAATTCCATATAAGTACCTGGGGTAGTTGGCAAAGGCGGTGTTGTCGAGGGTGGAGTTGGAACTGTTGATTAAAATGAAGGAAAGTCAGAAACATTTGAAAGCTCTAGAAATGCAGTCATCTCCAAAAGCAGACGTATCAATAAAAAAAAAAAAAACAATGTCATAAAGGCGAAATTATGCGAGTACACTCTGACCTCGACAATCCAAGGATACTGCCATAACCGTGTTCAAAGCCACTTACCTGTGGTTGTAATAGTTAGCCTGTCCTCACAAAATTCTCTTGTCAGCAGTGAGACGAGCTTTTGAAGTTCTTCGAATGATGACGAGCTAAAAACATACTGTGGGCCAGATGAAATCTCCAGAAGCTCCGCACGGGCAGCTTTATTGCCAACGCCGAGAGCATACACAGTTACGCCTTTGTTTTTCATTCCTTGAGAAGCCACTGAAAGTTTGGTGTAGGGCTTTGACGTGGTTTGATTACCGTCTGTGATCACAAAGGCCAACTGTCCAAACACAGTGTAAATAATATTCCTTATCAATATAAATCTTAAATCGAATATAACCATAACCATGGCACGCTAATGCCGGACTTAAAAGGAAAAATAAACCACAGAAGACACTGAACTGGTTATTATCCCCTCGAATATAAAGGTCAATTGAAACAGTAAAATTAAATAGGATAATTTCAAGACGGAGATAACCTCCTTTTTGGGAGGGGCTGCGTTACTTGTACTTAAAAAAGGACAATTTGTTTTAAAAGGGATAAAAAAAAGTTTTTAAACGGTCCTTACCTTAGGCGCACGCGATCTCATCCCATTTGCTGTCTGAAACAGATCTCTGTCCGCTAGGAGAAGAGCTTTGTCCGTGTAAGTGAAGCCACGTTGCCAACGCATCCCATCTAACTTTCGGTTTACCTCTATTGTGCTCTGGATGTCATTAAATCTTGTTACTACTACAGCATTGTTACTGTATGCAACAGCTGCTATGTGAGTGGCAGAGCGACGAACGTCGAGTTTACTGACCAAAGCCTTGAGGAATCGCTTCATTTTCTCCCAGTTCTTACGTCCGATACTCCCAGATGAATCAATTACGAATGCAATGTCCACAACGGCGCTACATTCCTTATCTGCGCAAGAAAATAAGAGGTAAGTAAGTGCTTCCACATTAGAATGCTGATTTCTATATGACAACAACAAGGCATTAACATAAAAAAGAACAACAGGAAATACTGAGGGTGAATGGTGGCTTAGCGCATGAATTGTTTTTAACACACTGACAATAAGAGAGGCAAAAATGTAAGTAATAGGCAACATCACTGATAAGTGAGTGGTTAACATACCACAAGGCTCCTGCTTGGCAACGGTGACGCCTTTAATATCTCCCTGACAGGCTTGTTGTCTTAGATAACACTCGTTTAAGTCCTGGACACCGTCTGTTGCGCAAACAGGTCGATAGGTATTCTGACAAGTTGGGCAAATGCATTCCGCCTTATTGTCTGCTACACGGCAGCCAAAATTGTATGGAGCTCTGCAGCCCGTCGTTTGGCAAGGATCTGTGAGATTTGATGAGAAAATATTCCTTAATTAATCGAAGATTGTGGTAAAAATATTGCCTAAGTAGTTCACTTTCTTCTAAAATCGGTATCGAAATTGGTCGAAAAAGCAGATAAATACCTGGGGTTGTCAATAATTGAGTTGTTGTTGGAGTTGGAGTTGATACTGTTGAGAAAAGATAGCGCATAAAACATTTTAAAAGGAGACATTTGAATATTTCCCTAACAAATTCCAATAGCCAGGTAAGCTTAATCAAGAAACAATATATATATATGAAATATTGACAATTTAAAGCAACGCGCTCTTCACTTGTTACTACGATAATTGTACCTCTGCATTGTTTACGTGGACCGACCTGATAGTTTGTGCTCACACAATCGCCTTATCATCTCTGGGGCGAGATTCTGGAGATCCTGAAATGATGACGATGTTAAAACGTATTGTGATCCGGATGCAATTTCTTCTAACTCTGCGCGGTTCGCTCCCCTACCAACTCCCACGGCATATACAATGACTCCTTTGTCCTTCATCCCTTGAGACGCTACTGAAAGTCTGGTGTAAGATGGTACTTTTGTTTGATTGCCGTCTGTGACCACAATTGCTAACTAGAAAAAAAGGCAAGTTTTTTTTAAAGTATTCTTAGAATAAAAATGTCATTATTTTGTTACAGTGAGTCAAATAGATTTGACGAGTATCTGTAGATCGTTTGCCTTTGGAATATGTTTTTGCTCAAACGCATCAGATTGAATGACTTCATGTAATCAGACGTAATGGATATCGGGGTTGATTTCCCATTCAAAATACAAAAAGTTTAGGTGTGTCGGGTCTATCCAATATTAACTTATCTTGGCACGTAAGAACCTTTCTACACATTCTATACTCACATTCCTTAGAAATATGATACTGAAATGGAAACAGCAAATTTAGACACAATAGAACCTGTACCTTTGGTACGTGTAGTCGCATCCCGCCTGATGTCTGGAACACCTCTTTGTTTGCAAGAAGGAGAGCTTTGTCCGTGTAGGTAACACCACGTTGCCATAGCATTCTATCAAATAATCGATTAACCTGGTTGGTGCTCTGCAAGCCGTCAAATTTCATTTCCACTTTAGGTTTGGTACTGTATGCAATAGCAGCTATATGAGTGGCAGAGGAATCGACGTCAAGTTTGCTGACCAGAGCTTTTAGGAATCGCCTCATTCTTTCCCAATTTTTGCGACCAATACTTCCAGATGAGTCGATAACAAAGGCGATGTCCACCACATTGCGGCACTCCTTATCTGATAGAAATTTGAAAAAGACAAAGATAAGCATCATGATTTTTATTCAATGGACTACAAAGCTACCATAATCATTTAGAAGGATTCCCCTGAAACGTATCCTTGGATATTTTAGTTGTATGGTTCTCCAATTCCAAAGTAGCAACACTCTATACTTTCGGAACCGACAGGTCAAAGGTGCCGCATCATTTGAGTACCTGCTACTTTCATGAAGTCAAAACACCAAGAAAACGTTTTCAAGAGCTATTGTTAAAAGGTATTAAACTCACCACACGCGCCCTGCTTTGCAACAGTAACACCTATATCTCCCCGGCAAGCTTGTCTTCTCATGTGGCAGTCGCTCTGATCCTGTACTCCATCAGTTGCACATACAGGGAGGACTATATTTCGGCAAGTGGGGCAAATACACTGTGCAGTATTGTTCACTACACGGCAGCCTTCATTGAACGGAACAGTGCAGCCTATAGCACATGGATCTACAAAATGTATAGTTGAGTCAGCTTTACTCACCCTAGGATGGCGAGCTCGGAATAGCAAGAAAACAATTAAATAAATATCCACATGCAACGGAACATGACTAGCTCACGCATAAGAGAGAGTCGTTTACATGTTGGTCGACATTCCCTGCATTAACATTTGCTGGGGATTTTCTCTGTCAATAATGCTTTTCCCAGAATAGTACGAGCGTATTTTTCTAAACCATTAAGACAATTTGAGGGATTCTGTAGCAAAGGTAGAGTTTCACTTTGTTGCACCCCATGTTGTCTTATTTTAAGCAATATGCCGAACTAGCTTTCTGGGCGATTGATTATTTTCTTCTATTTGATTAAAACTCGAACTCGTTACCCAGTAAGCATTTCCAGCGCCATTTCCAGGTTGAGGAAAAAGATTTCCAATCGTTATCAAAGTGATTATTTCACGATTTAACGTGGAACTCGATGACGACAACTAGATAAAGTGGCTCAATTACCTGGAGTAGTTGGTGTTGGAGTTGTTGAGGGTCCAGTAACATACGCTAATCAAAAAGAAAGAAAGCATAATTGTCACATTCACAATTTTGGATGGTTGAGTCACAATATCTGCCTAAATCACTTTAACAGGAGGGATAATGGAGGGATAATGAGACTTGATCTTTGTCCAGTCCAAAATCTTCATCGGTTGCCTGTAAAACATTATACACACCGAGGGAAACCGTTAGTGTTGTTTTTCTGATGAACATCAGGAATCTCGGGAAAAAAAAAAAACTAACTAGTTTCCCAAGGGACCATACATTAAGTGCCTTGTTTTATATTTTTACTTCCCTTAAACAATCATGTGGCAAAAACATGCTGTTGTATTCAGCACGCCGGCAACAAACTGCGCAATTGCATCCCGGTCGGGATACATTTAATGTGATTAGGGGTACGTGACCAAGAATCAACTAATCACAGTGCTTGTTTTTTGGGGTGAAAGTCTATAACAATACGCATTGTTAACTTTTTTCAATAACTAACCTCCTATTTCCAAATAGAAGCCATGTTTAAGAAAATTTGCAGAAATTCTTCTATACCTCTACAAAAGCGGTGTCTTATCCCTCCGGCTATATTCTTTAGATCTTTAAATGATGCATAAGTATAAACATTTTGTGATCCTGAGGCAATCTGTTCAAGTTCAGCTTGGTCGACCCCGCTGCCGACCCCGAGAGCGTATACAGTGACACCTTTGCGTTTCATTCCTTGAGAAGCCACGGAAAGCTGCGTGTACGATCCCGTTGTCGTCTGCTTACCATCTGTGATTACAAAGGCTACCTAGAAAGTATTATCGGAAGTATTGAGTAAAAATCATCAAAATGTAATGGGAGTATAGGGGAAGTGGTGGAAAACATTTTACAAACTAGGACCCCTCTTTTAGAGGGAGGAGTAGATAAGAGGACAAGGGGCTCCAAAGAAGGGAAGCGGGCAATAAAGGGAAGCGGGCTGTAAGATAGACCACCAGTCTTCCTTGTTGTAAAGGGACTTCAGAAGAAACTATGGTTTGCTTCAAATAGAGGGGGCTACACGAGGTAACATGAGCATGGTGTTAGAGTTTATATGACATACAATCTCTGGGGATGTCAAAGCGCTTTCAAACAAGGAGATGTTATAGGTAACCTAAGATCAGACTCGAGCGTCATCAGGTTGTTCCTAGCGATAAATCAAAACGAGTGCTTCATGTAAAAAAATGAGCAAAAGGAAAGAGAGATCAAGGTGACTAAGTATGTGGGCTACTTTTTCTAATTCGGGTAAATTTCTTGAAATGAAGCCCACTCCTTCTTAACGAACCCTTCCTACCTTTGGTACACTAGATCTCATTCCCTTTGCAGTCTGAAAAAGTTCTCTGTCTGCAAGCTGGAGAGCTTTGTCCGTATAGGTCAAGCCGCGTTGCCATCTCATAAAATCTAACACCTGATTAACCTGAGATGTTCCTTGAAAGTTTCTGAACGTCATCACCACCTGTGGATTCGTACTGTAAGCGACAGCTGCCACGTGTGTGGCAGAAGCACTAACGTCAAGTTTGCTGACCAGCGCTTTAAGGAATCGCTTCATTCTTTCCCAGTTACTGCTCCCAATGCTTCCAGAGGAGTCAATGATGAAAGCTATGTCCATGATGGGTCGACAGTCTTTGTCTGATAATGAAAAGAAGTAAATGATTCTCGAAAGAGAAACATAGAGCGACAATGTTTTAAAATTCTATACACAATCAAATATTGAATTCCAACTAAGAGACAAAAGGGTAGTCAAGGATGCAATCAATACGTCCAAAGAAACATGTAAAATATTTCAAATATTTCTGCGAGTTTCATCTCCTCTCTCCATGAAAGAGGCCAGTTGCCTCTTCATCGAGGGCGCAATTTATTTTGAAATTTCTCTAATGGGAATGATTTGTGATGATCTTGTGTTCCTTGTTGACGGGTGCACGTCAAAATTAAACTCGTTTTATTTTATGATTACAACTCCAAGAAACTTTGAAAAAATCTGGCGAGGGAGACGAATTGTCAACATACAAGATGGAAAAATGGACAATCAACGCACCACATGATGTCCGCTTCGCAACAGAAACATTAACATTTCCTTGGCAGGCTTGACGTTCTAAATGACATTCACTCAGGTCCTCGACGCCATCTGATGCACAAACAGGCTTCAGTATGTTCGGACAGGTGGGACATATGCACTGTGCTGTATTGTCCACAACTTTGCATCCGAGGTTGTATGGAGCATTACAGGGAGTGGTCAGACAGGGATCTGTTAAAAAAGAGGTAAAATAACTTCAATTTAGAGAAAGAGGTTTTTCGTCCTACGTGGGACAAAGAAAAACTTCTGAGTCCCATGAGGAATCGAACCTCAGACCATCGGATTCCGCGATCTCATCCTCTACTACTGAGCGGCAGCGAGTCTACGGTGAGCGAGGTGCACACTGCTAGGATCAGCGATGTCGATAGCGTCATGTTAGGGACTGTGTCCAACACTCGTGACAAGACGAAAAATTCCTTTCTCTATTTCTTTAGTGAGCTAAAAACTTGCCATCGTTCTTAAACTATTTACAAACTTCAATTTACCTTGAAGTGCTCAGACTAAGAAAAACTGGTCACTTAACATTCCGTTTTAGCCTTGGCTTTTCTAAGTTCCGCTGTAAGACACACAGGAAACCGCGATTAAAGAATAATGGAAAGGTGGAGGAACACGAGATTTGGAAAATTCTTGTTCGGATTGTTGTCTTAAAAATTTACTCTCGCCGATTAACACCATGTTGCGGTGTTTGAGAAGTAAAAGAAATACTTGTTATGCACGTGCGCTGACACAGTAACCTTTATGAACGGAAAACCGGCTCAATGCCATTCACTTACCAGGTTTTGATACTTCGCATACACTCTTTCGTATTTTTGAAGCCTCGTTTTGGAGGCTTTCGAATGATGACGATGTAAATACATAATCTAGTCCCGATGCAATCTCTTCCAACTCTGCTTGGTCAACTCCACTACCAACCCCAATGGCATAGACAATGACCCCTTTGTTTTTGATTCCTCTCGAGGCCTCCGAAAGTTTGGTGTATTGCGATGTCGTCGTCTGCTTACCATCTGTGATCACGATGGCAATCTAAATGAAAGGAATGTAATTTCAAAAAAATTTTGAAATCAGATAATCGAATCAATTGAAGTGCACGGAAAGTCTAGTAAAGCTATGAAATAAAAAAAAATGCAGCATATCTGATCAACCTTTCCTCACTTGGAAAAAGAAATAATCGTGACGCTACGTTCTTAAATAACAAACATAAAACGTCTTTTCTAAAATTCCGTGTTCCGCTTAGCTCATTAGTTGGCCGTCATCACGCGTTATGACACGCACACAGAAATCTTGAGGAAAGGGGTCTTCTCACCTTCTTTACATTTGACCTCATCCCATATGAAGTCTGAAATAGCTCTGAGTCTGCTAAAAGAAGAGCTTTGTCTGTGTAGGTGTAGCCACGCTCCCATCGCATATCATCGAATACTTGGTTGACCTGCAGTGTCCCTTGGAAGCTATTAAACCTGAGCACCACCCGAGGATTGGTGCTATATGATATGGCAGCCACATGCGCTGCGGAAGGACTAACTTCGAGTTTGCTGATCACAGCCTTAACAAAACGTTTTGTTCTTTCCCAATTCATCCGGCCAATACTTCCAGAAGAATCGATGATAAAAGCGATATCTAAAAGAGGGCTGCATTCCTTATCTAAAGAGAAGAAATGCAGAGTTCAAAGTCCAAAAATGAGTGAAATCGAACAATACAACGAGAAAGGAAATGATAACATTTTGGATTATAGTAAGTTAGAGTAGTTACATGTCGTATAATTTGGAAGTAAGCGTTGCTCGTAGAATGAGCAAGAAATCAAAATATCGCACAATGCCTGGTGGTAAAATGGGTGTCAGCTTACTTAAGACTGCTTTAATGCTGGCAAATTCCTAAGAAAAGTACTCTTAAATGAACAAACTACTATTCAGTTGTGAGTTATGCAAGAGAGACTTAAACTTGAAAGAGGCTATAAAATACGTCCTCGGTGAGATAGAAAAACTCAAAGCGACAATTGAAAACAAGAAAGAAAAACGCCAAAGAAGAACAGAGAAGTTAAATGCACAATTGAAGAAAATTAAATCCTGACTAGTTTCACAGACCGGGACACAGATCATTTCGATCAAGTTGAGTTTTAACCAACAAAATGAATAATTTCATGAACAAATCGCCACACGTGCATTAAGTACTCACCGCATGGTCCTTCCTTTGTAACGTTAACCCATATATTACCACGACAAGCTTGCTGTTTCATGTTGCATTCGCTTTGATCCTGTACACCATCAGATGCACAAATAGGCTTCAGGACGTTGGAACAGGTGGGACATATGCACTGTGCCCTGTTGTTCAAAGCTCTGCAACCCTCGCTGTATGGAGCATTGCAGCTACGTGTGGCGCAAGGATCTAGAAAGGCACGTGCAATAAGTTCAATTAACTATCACCATAATCATTTGCAAACCTGTACAACATTCCACCTTCTTCCATATTTTGGAGAGACTACTTATGTAAAGTGTTAAGGTTTAAGTATCTTCCTCTTTGTGAAAGTCTGGATTTTACAAATGATTCCTATTAGCAGTTGTCCCTTCTGACAACGTGGCTGTGCACCACAAGTGACGTAATAGAAGGAAATGCCGACCTCTCTAAGAGCCAGTGGTGTTTGGGGAGACATGCAGAATAAAATTGTATGATCCGGTGCAAGAATGTGTTGGTTTTTTGGTTTTATCAAGCGAACATATTAAATACAGTAAAGATACTAGTTCTGCTAAAGAATACAAGAAATTTTTGGCTAATACATGCAGCACTCGTTAGTCAGAAGCCTGTTACCGGGAAGCTTATTTTTTTGTGTGGTCAAGTGGAGATGAAAATAATAAAAGGAGTTCTACGAATGGTTCTTTTGAATACTAATCGGTACCTGGGGTTGTTGTAGGCGCAGGTGTTGTAACTATTGCAACTGAAAGAAGAAAACAATTGACTGTCAATCAAATATTCCATTGCAACCTTTACATTTTTGAAATTTTTTGAATAGCTTAAATGGTCAATATTATCCAACTCTGGAGAATGATAGTTTTGATTGCAACTACCTGTCAGTTGTCCGAGATTGTGCGGTCTAAACCGCCCTAATAGAACCAATTTTCTAAATTAATAACAATGTCCCAGTCACTTCAAAAGTGGTTCCTACAAACGTATGAAAAGGCGGACATATGCCTAGCTGAGAAGAACCTTTGGCAGTTTCATTGTTACAATTTTAAAAATATAAACATAATGTAAATATGATACAAAGGACGCTCACTTATAACTAAACGTTCATTTGCAACTGATATAAAGAAGAAAAGGTTTTCAATGTGTCTTGGTATAATTGTTCTCTAAAAAGGCTGAAAAGGTGGCTATGTTAACGCATCATCAGATTTTGCAGGTCTTATTCTTGATATTGGATAACTGAATTAAGAGAAATGACAATTTCAGAGCCTAGAGTTCGCGATCCTCGAGTACTTAATAAGCAGAATCACCAACTCAGCTGCAAAGCTACTAGCTGAAGCGCCATACATATCGTGACCATTGCATTTTGCCGGTAAATAAGGCTAAAGTTTTCACGAAATAATCAAAAGGTTGCTGTACCAAGTACGTATCCTGAACTTACCTCTCGGTGCAGTTATGGTGCTTGCAATGGTTTGAACTTGTCTTGGAAGATCATTGTACGACGCCATGCGGAACATGTCCTGTGGTCTTTGGACGGGAACGTCAGATTCACCTCCCACAGCTATTACGTAGGTGATGACATCACGGTTTTTCATTTGTTGCATTGCGTCCACCAAAGATCCCCCATCAGGTGATTGCCTTCCACCGGTGAGCAATATGGCGACCTTTGATTGAATATAATGGTTGTGGAAAAACCCTAATCTCCAGTGTACGTTTTTATTTTTGATAACTTTATATCGAACTCACGCAATAAGCTAAAAGCTACTACTAGAGTTCATCCCGTTTTCAACTACATCAACCACAGCAGGCATACTTTCTAAACTGAAAACAGAATTGGTTCCTTTTGTGTTTGCTAAAAGATTTACCTCTTAGTGAACCAATTCCATCAACTACAGAAACTAAAAAACCTTTGTAAACTACACCAACTACACAAATTACCGCAACTGCACTGAAGTGCGTTACCTGCAGAAACAACAACACACAAGAACCAGCAACAGCTCCAATAGGAAGTGATTGGAATGCTGATCTATCAAAGGTTGAACCTAGCTCTTTGTCAAGTTTCCCTGAGTCGTTCACTGAACTGTAACAGTCATATGAGAATTGTTTCAAAATATTGAGTAATTTCCAATTGAGTGTCGAAAATAATCCGAAATTGCATTGGTTTTGCTTTTACTTTTATTTTTACTTCGCTCTTTGATTGGTCCAAAACACTCACGCCACTCTCTCAACCAATCAGATGCAAAACTAAAACCAATCACGAGTTGGTCACCCGCGTTTTCCCGCGCTTTAGACAGTTTGGTTGTTTTAACCTCAAGTTCTCATTGGCTCTTCCAGCTATTTCCCTTTCTTCTAATTGGCCTTTGTGATAACCTTGCTTTTGGTTTTACGACACTCAACCGAAAAACGATCTAAATTAAAAACTAACCCTATGAACAGACGGTCAAAAACTAACCCTATGAACAGATGGTCAAAAACTAACCCTATGAACAGATGGTCAAAAACTAACCCTATGAACAGATGGTCGGGAGTTTTGGAACAAGGTTGCAGCAGCATTAAAAGCTCGGTCAATCCTCCGCGTTCCACTCATCTGTGGGGTTCGGTCGATGACTGAATTGAAGCCGGTAATTTCTGTATAGCCATCAAAGGGCAAGATGGGTCGGGCTTCAGTGCTGAAGATAATAACAGAACCTCGGGACTTCCCCGGCGTGATATTTAGGTACCTTGCGATAAGCTTGACGAACTCTTTTTCCCTCAAGAATTCATCTGGCGTGACGCTTGACGAAGAGTCCAGCATGAAGATTACGTCAGCCACGAAGTTGTAAGGACCAAGAGCCGCTAGAGGTTGATAAGGTTAATAAAAGGTAATTATGTTATCAAACCTTCCGGTTTATCAATTATTAAAATATAAAATACTCCCTACATTGTGTTTGCCTTTTTGGGCATTACGTGATAGGGACAATCAAACAAACCAGCGTGAATATGAGAGCGATCCTCGCAGTTATGAAAACTATTTGAACAGCAGTGAAAAGTAGTGTTCATAACTTCACGTTTTTATCCGCAGTTAACATATATGATTTTCATATATTCAGTCATTTAAAGAAATCAGCGTAAGGGAGGGGGGTTGGTTATTTTGATGGAAAGTCTTTTTGTAATTTTTTTCAGATCTGAACATTTTCACAAGCCCATTCTTGACATTGTGAAGTGTATGGCAGCCAAAACAGGGAATTTAGTTCTCTTACGGTTGAGAAGGTTGAGAAGTTCGTCGTTTGATATCAATTTTAACCCATTTGACCCCTAAGACTAACTGCATTTAATCAGGAAATTTATGGAGAGCGGTAGGGAGAATATGCCTACTGATACTAGGATGGAAATAGTTAAAATGAACCATCCTTGGTCCTATTTCATTCAATATTTTTAACTCCTTTAAATAAAACTTCCAATGGTAGGACAAGTTGCCGTTGAAATAATGAAAATGTTTTGTACTATGAGGTTACGTTCGAGAAATTTTAGGAAAATAACAACTGTAATCAAACACGAACAATACTAATACTTGAATTAATTGGCTCGTATCTGACTAGCATATGGCTAGGCACTTCCAATCCGAAACCAAATCAGGACCATATATTTCTTTGTTAATTGTTGGTCTTAGAATTTATAGTTAATTGTAAACGAAATCGATTGACTGATTACTTTGTTAACCCTCATTTCGTCACTTCTTTGCATTACACACAAAATGTAAGGAAAGCATTGGCAACGACAAACGTCACAAACCTGTATCGTGGGCCACATATCTTGACAATGGCACGACATGGCGAGGAAGATCGATAAAATTCCTCACTGGGAACCAATCCGAACCCGCAGTGCCCCTCAAAGGCAATAAAACGATTTGCGGAGAGATAGTCACAGCATAAAGTCGAGCCCCAAGATTGTAAAGTTGCTTGAACGACGTGTCTAGAATCGACGCCTGAATCCCTACTTGTTGATTTCCTGCTGTCAATAGAATGACAACTTTAGGCACCGCCGGTCTCGCTTTTGCCAAAGCAGTTCGCGCTTTGTCGACTGCTCGGTCCATCCTTCGCGGTCCTCCGACTTTTGGCGCGTTGTCCAGAGCGTTATGGAACTCTTGAGTCGTGCTTGTGTCACCAAAGTTTGAAATCACGGTCGCAGTGGATCCGTATGTGATTACAGCAACTCTGGTACGGCCTGGCATCTTGTTTAAAAATCGCGACAATTGCTTCACGAATGTCTTTTGATCATTGTAATGTTGTGATGTCACTGATGCAGACGAATCAATGAGATAAACGACGTCCACAGCTAAGCTGAGTGGTCCCAGGAAAGCTAAAAAAATAAGTAAAGATGTCAAAACTGTTTTGGGTAATACAAATTAAATCTAAGCACCCCATAGGAAGGGCAAAATATGGTCAACGTTGTTCGTGTGTCTTTACCTATTAGAAATATTACACAATTCAAAACATTTGGCATATCGATGTTTCGTTTGCATCCGCGCCAACTCCTTGCCTTGGGAAAATGGTGGGGAATCGATTAAGTACAGTCAATTCAAGACACTTTGAGACGTCTATTCGAGACAACAACGCGGAAAATGTGTTCAGATGAACGCTCACAATTTCGAAATCTCGAGAGGCAAAATCATTCAAGAACACCCAGAACGTGTCAAATGACACATCTGGAATCTTTTCGAAAATTTGAGAGTTCACACATAATACCGATTCTCTCGGTGGGACCCTGAAAAATTTGTCAGGATGAAAATTCTGTGGTGGTGCGATAAAAGATCATGTCGGAGAGGATTTAGTCCTTAAGTTTAATACCTATGTAATAAATAGTTATCGGTACACAAAATTGAGAATGTCGCTAAGCGAAAGTTCATATGATGCATTCGACTGTAAAGATCGCAAAACTCTCGGGTCCACGTGTAACTTGAATCACTCTTTGTGTATCTCCGAAATTTTTAAATTAGAATTTACTTGTTGTAAACATTCTCTTTAGATTTTGATTGCCCTTTATCTTCGTTCATTGTTATCTTATAATCTACGCAGTTCAAAATAGCGCTGACATTTTTACAAAACGTCATACGTGTCAAGAGATTCAATTTGTACCTGATCCAAATATTCTCAAAATTCAAGCCACCCAGGAAATATATTTTAAAAGAACATACAGAAGTACGGTTTTAATCTAAAAGGATAAAATTCTAGTCGTCGAAAGATCATCAAAACGGGATATCTCAAAAACAGACATTGACAGAAATCAACTCCGGAAAGGAAATACCTGACGTTGACAGAGATGAAAGGGCGACGTAACGACTAATTTAAGTTCTTACAGGTAAATGGGGGAAATTATGTAATAAGTAATATGACAGAAAAAAAAGTAAAGACGAAAGAAAATAGATCAAAGGACAAAAAAAAAAAAAAAACAAAACAAAGAAAACCAACTTTACATTATGTGCTCGAATATATAATTTACATCTCATATAACGTCTGAGTACATTAGAAATGGTGTCCTAATAAGAGTCCTGTTACATAAATGGGGTTTCCAAAACTGAATATCTTACCAATTCTTTTCGAATTTTTCCCCCGCCCCTCCCCTCTAGCTCTGTCTCCGGAATTTTAAAAATCGAGGACGGATTTTTTTGAGTCTTGGACTGAGTTAGCAGCTTACAAAAATGATAGTGATATATATAATAGTTATATTAACGGTGACGTCCAGGAGCCCATCACTTGATATCAAGTGATGAACTCCTGTGACGGCGGAATAGCAGTGATAATGATACATAGAGAAAAGAAATAATGATACTTGTTAATAGAATAATAAGATAAATAGATGAATAAATAGATAGATAGACAGAAATAATGAAAGAAAGAAAGAACGAAAAGGGAAAGAAAAAGAGAAAGAAAGAATAATACAAAAACTGCTGAGTGAAAGCATACCCGAAGAATAAGGTATGTGCCTCGCCAGATATGGTGCCGTCTTCGAATCCAAGTCTGCAAAACTTGCAAACTCGAAAACATCGCCAGGAAGATCAACAGCCGCATGAAGTTCCCTCAGTGCTGGTTCTGATCCAATGCGGAAAATGAATGTCCTAATCCCTTGTAGGTGGAGCGGTCGAACTGAATCTCTTAACGAGCCTGATTCACCCGACTGTTTTCCCGCCATAAACAACAGCACGATCTTGGGGACGTTTTCCCGGGCGTCTACGAAAATACGCTGCATGACCATTGTTAGGGCCCTGTCGACATTTCGGGGTCCTCCGAGGTATGGCGTCTTGGCAAGCTCGGAATAAAAGCGCTCAATGGTCCTGGAACTGTCGAAGCGAAGGACGGGCATTGCTCGACTACCGTACACTACGAGCGCCACCCGAGACAGCCCGGGCTGGATGTTTAAGTACTGTGCAAGAGACTTCACGAAGTCCTTCTGTGTTTGGTACTCGCGATAAGGAACACTTGAAGAACAATCAATGATGAATACGATGTCTGCGTTCAAGGAAGATGTCCCTGTTATGACTGAAAGAGAACGATGATGTCACAGGTGAAGAATTTCAGACTCGATCGGAAACGAACGTCCAAGTATTGATATTTCTTGTTAAGCCATATATAATTGTCTAGGAAGTCCACTTGCTTCGTACAATTAGTAAAGAAAACATTTCAAGAAAGAATTGCTGATTTAACTCTTTTGCCAACTGATAATGATACCGTAACCACATTACTTACCCGAGGTATTAGCCACGTATGTACCCACTGGCCTGACAAATCCATAAAGTCCTGGAAACGAACTTGCAAAGAACATGTCTGTCGGTCTTATCGTAACTTTTTGCAGTTCCCTGGCGTCCATTCGTCCAATAGCCGTAACGTAGACCCAGGCTCCCAGCTGACGAAGAGGCCGAGAAGCTTCTCCTATAGGAATGGTCCCCGGTGCCGTGCTTTGATCGCCCGCTGTTATGAGAACGACCGCCTTCGGCAGAGTCGATCGAGACCGTAAGAGTAAAGCAGCCGCAGTATCGAGAGCACGGTCAATCTGTCGCACACCTCCCATACTTGGAGCGTCATTCAAGCGCCGAATAAACTCTGAATTGGATCTGTAGCCTCCAAGGGGGAATACCACTGAGGCATTACCTCCATACGTTACCACACCAGCTACAGTTTCGCCTTGGAACACACCAAGGTGCATTGCTATCCTTTGGACAAACCATTTCTCGATGCTGTAGTCCCTGGAATTGATGCCTGACGAGGAATCTATCAGGAATATGATGTCCAACAGGAATTTGGAGCCTCCATAGAGATCTAAAAAAGAAAGTAATTGAGTTTTTAAAAAGTAAACACTCAGAACATTTTGGCTTTGGTCATCCCTCAAAATAAAACATATACTTACATGTTTTTTTACATGCAACTAAATACGTTTTTCCAAAGCGCATTTTGAAAAGAAAAAAACTTTCCTGATACAAAGAACTCCTTGATTTGAAAGTTTTAGAGGTGGCCCAAAGTGGCAAAAATTCCTAAAAGTGAACAAAAGTAGGAAAAACGGGAAGTTTGAGAGCGCACTTTAAAGTCAACTGTGATATTTCACCACACAGACGCACGGCAGAGTGGAATCTATTTCACGTGGTTGATCGAGTATAAGTCGAATGATTATACCATTAAACTATCGGCCGACCTTGGCCAATCAGACACTAACATATCGATCACTGAAATATCACGCAATATTTTGAGGGGAATATTGAACAAGGCTACCTCAAGAGCACATCATTCTTATATCCTCCTCATGAAATAAAATTTTTCTAATTACGAGTAAAAATAGATGCGTGATAACAGGCTACTGGATCCACCAGTGAAAATTTTTGTATTTCATCCTAAAGGTATTTATTGAGTATACTTACAATTATCAGCTGTTATATAGCCAGCCAAAGACCCGATATTCGCTGGTAAATCGCGGTAAGAAACAACTGAAAAGGCATCCCGCGGTTCCACAACCACTGGACGTAGCCAACCGACATACGGGTTCTCACTAACGGATAGCACGTACAACCAGATCCCGCGCTTCAATAAAGGACTAGCAGCGGCTTCTAGAGCCCTGGTATCCCGTATGTCTCTCGGTCTCCACGGGGTAACGAGGATAACCAGCCAGGGGTAAGACCTACGCGCGCCAGTAAACATAGTCGCCGCTGTCCTTAAGGCGCTGGTGATCGAAGAACTGCCGCCCAAATATGACGCATCGGTTACCAGAGTTCTGAATTCGGCATGTGTGTTATAGCCGTCAAAGTTGAAGTTCACTATAGGAGAATCTCCTACTGTGATCAACGATCCCCGAGATTTTCCTGGTGAAATGTTCAAGTACTCTGACAATATTCTGACAAATCGTTGAGCTCTAGTGTATTGGAAGGGTGTTACTGCGGAGGAAGAGTCCAGGATGAAGGCGATATCAGCGGCAAACGTTGGCGCCTCTGGGGCTCCTGTGGAATAAAAATTCAGATCAAACACACCAGACAGGATGAATAAACTATGAACACGCCTAGGCAGAAATATGACTCGTAAAACGGGCGATTTTTCAAGCCCTCGATAAACAAAATGAATAGGAGAGGGGGTAAGACGAAAACTCATTCCCATTCCTCGACGGGTTTCGCCGCCAAAGCCTTTAATAAATACAGCCATAGGAGACGAGACGAAAATCATTCCTATTCCTCCACCGACCAACCCTTAATAAATACAGCCAGCTGTGCACGCTAAAATAATGTGGAGAGACAAACACAAAATAAAGACAACTGATATCAGACAAAGCATAGTCATAATCGCATGGAAAGAGGAATTAGCTTGAATAAGCGCGTGAAGCAAGACATTTTGAGTCTTCTTTATTTTCTTCTAATCGGTGTAAAACAAGGTTAGCTCAAGTATAACTTACGCCACGTTCCCATGATACGTGAGGCCATGAAAGAGGCGCGTGGAAGTAGATTGATAAACGATGGAACGGACATGGCGTCCTCAGGTCTTTGAACTGCCTGCCAAAAGTCACGAACAGTATATCCTCCTGCAAGAATAGCAACAACAAAGACTCTGCCACCATATGTTCGAATCTGCTGCGAGGTCTCTCTCAGGGAGCGCATATCAGCCACCTGCGATTGCCTTCCAGTTGTCAAGAGAATGACGTATTTGGGTACAGATGAACGAGATCTTGTTCGCAGAAGCTCCGCTGCAGCCTCAAATGCTCTGTCGATGCGGCGGGCACCTTGGAGATGAGATGCGCTGTTGACAGCTGTGTCGAACGCCTCACGGTCTTCGTAACCATCAAATGTGATTTGCAGTGAGGGACGGTCGCTGAATGCATACAGAGCAGCGCGGCTTCTGTTATTGGCGAGATTCAGGAGGCGTGCCATCAGCTTTACATAGTTCTTTTCTAGTATGTAGTTCTCCTTTGTCACGAACCTTGATGAGTCCATGAGAAATATTATATCTGAACGAAAGTCTGCTGGTTCATACTTAACTAATAACAAGAAAGGAAAAAATAAATGTTATTCTGAGAGAAATTTAAAGGTTCCATACTGATGAAAGACACTTCACTTACAGGCATTCGAAGTATGTCTCAGAGTTCTCGCGATACGCGACTGCCATGGTTCCAAATCGTGGAAAGAGGCTACTTGAAAAATGTCTCTGGGTTTGCGAACCATTTGCGTGAATACTGATGGTGTAAACTGGGAGCCAATACCTATCACGTACAAATGTGCGTCGATACTGCGCAATCTCATCACAACAGAAGACATAGTATCAGCTCCAGGTCCCGAGTAGTAATTACCCGCGGTCAAGAGAATAACAATTCTTAGACCCTCTCGTCCGGTGTCCTGGAACATTTTCGTAGCGTAATTGAGCGCTTGGTCGATTCTCCGCGAACCACCGCGTAATCGAGCGTCATTGATTTTAAGACTGAAGTCTGCTGTACTGCCATAATCGGAGAAGCCTATGACGGTAAATGAAGCTCTGTCATAAGTGACCAATGCGCCACGTGGCCCAAGTGGGGATATAATGAAGTAACGAGCCAAACGACGGACGAACTGTTGCTGCAAAATCAACTGTTCCCTGGATACGCCCACGGAAGAGTCCATCAAGAAGATAATGTCAGCATCAGGGTGGATTGGTTCTGTCACTTTGTGGGAAAAGGAACAAAAGATTGAAGCGTGAGAATGACACGAACAATTTAGTGTATACCTATCCATAAAAAAGCTTCAGCTAGCTTAAATGGAGAAAACAATCTGATGTTTTACTACTTAATCTATAGTTTCTGTCTTAAGTAGAAATTTAGGGCTATCAGATAAAGGAAATTCAGTTTTGAACTTAGCACCAAAAGGGAAAACTGTTACAGCGATCGAAAGCTTTGATCAATTTAAACGAAACTATGAGGAGACCTCATATCTTGAAAATTGTCATAACCATAGATTTGATTTCTCTTACCAGCCGCTTCGCAAAGACTATTGGTGTAATTCCCCACTTTGGTAACCAAATCATCAAACTTCATCACTCTTATCACATCTTCATCTCGTTCTACCGTCAACCGCAATTCGCGCACATTAATTCTCTTTCCAATACCGAAAGCGATCACACGCACTCCTTGCTGCCTTAAAGGCGCGGACGCATCTCTCAGGTTTAACGTGCTCTCAGGCTTCGATTGCTCGCCATCAGTCAGCAACATTGCCACCTTTGGTACATCTTTCCGCGCGCGTGAGAAAAGTTCCGATGACGCCAGTTCGAGAGCCTTGTTGATGTAAGTAAGACCTCTTTCGTGGGGAAGCTCGTCGACCTTCCTTTTAAACTCTTCTATGGTGCGGGAGTCGTTGAAGTACGCTTTCACTGAGGCTTTTGTGCTGTATAAGATGATACCTGCCCGACTACCATTCGTCGAAATGCCAAGTCTCCCAGCAATGCCCTTCACAAACGCTTTGATTTTTCCGTAGTTCCTTCTGGAAATACTCCCGGACGAATCAATGATGAAGGCGACGTCCACTATGGCATTACAAGTTTTTCTTTCTGCGAAAATGAGGCAAAACACACTTTTTGGACGATATTTACCATGCCCATACTTATATAGACTACAAGTACTGAACTGATCTTTGCGGAAATAAGAGGAATTGCAGAAAAAAGGCCTGTAAAACTAAGGTTCATTTGGTTACTTATACATCATGCACAAGTCAAAACAATTTTATGTAATTTAATTGTGATATCAAGAGTAGTTGAATATACTTCGCATAGTAAAGCCTATGGTAAAATCTGAATTAAGTGGACGCCATATAAAGAAAACGCCTTATGTCAATCAGGCATTGGTCCCAACACCCAGATAGTGCCTCCCCTGTAAGTTCAAGGTTGAGGGAATCGAAGCGGACGCCAGAGCTAAGCGGTTTGTTCAAATGGTACCCACAATAAGCGAAGAGGTTTCTAAGAAAATTTAGTTTGTTTCATTTAAAAGGATAACATTTTGGAGAAGCATCGTTTCCATTCCACTCCTCGTTTTGGAGATGAGAACCTTTATCGTAAGTTTGACAAGTTTCACCTTATTTAAGGTTTGGTTAGGAAGTAACTTTGAATTTGTAATATCACGCACAGTTAGGCAATCCACGGAAAAGGCAAAGAGAATCATAACCGTCTTATCGCGTATTCCTCTATCATTCTTTAACACTAGGGTTCCTAATCATTAAAAATAATAGAAATTCATTACTAACCAGCTGGTTCTTTAGTTGGGACTACGACAGGTTGAACACAGATCATTCTGCAACCATCAGAGCAGCACTCCTTCCCGCTAACACATTCATCTCTTTTTAGACACTGATTGGGCTCGTTAGGACACGGA